CTGCAATGGTGCCCGCCGGTGCTGTGGTGTCCAAGTTTGCCACGTACACACCAAACGAGATCATCGTTTGGTAAAAAAACACTGTTCATTAAAAAATGAACAGACACCCTGAGGTGGGCCTTCTCTCCAGGACAGGTGAAGCGCCCGTCTCCAGGATGGACACTTTCCGCGGCTGTCTGTGTCCTGAGTGGCATGTGCGCAAACAAGCATGCATGAGTGCAGGGTGCGGGACGGCCACTCGGAAGCCTTGTGGACCCGAAGATGCCCAGACACGTGCGGGCCTGTGACCCAACAAGTAGGAAGCCCCGTCACAGCTCAATGGAGACAAGTGGGTGACGGGCATGGACAGACATAGACAGACGTTTCTCCTGAGAAAGTGCCCAGGTGGCTGACAGGCACATGAAGGAGGCTCACGGAATCGGTCATCAGGGAAATGCCAAGCAAAACCACAATGAGCCGTTGCTCACGCCCACCCAACGGCCACAGCAGACCACCGGCCAGACAGGAATGACAAGAGTCGGCGAGGACATGGAAAGCGCGGAAGCCCTCGCAGGGCTGGTGGGAAGTAAACGGCGCGGCTGCCATGGAGAACGGCTGGGTGGGAGCTTGCGAAATTAAGGACGGGGCGACCTCATGACCCTGCAGCCCGAGGCCTCGGTGTGCACCCCAGGGAAGGGAGCAGGGACCTAGGAGACCCTTGGGTGCCATGCTGCAGCAGCCGTATGCAAGGCGGCCAGAGCTGGAATCCACCCAAGTGTCCGTCAGGTGAGCGGGCCAAGTGTGGGACACACACCGGGACACTGCGGCAAGCCAGGGGTGGGCTCGGCTGCAACGCGGTGAACGTTAGGCTGAGGGACATGAGCTGGGCACAAAAGGACACTCGCATGAGGGGCACAGACACGAGGCAGAGGCCCAGGACTGGGGAGGGGCAGGGAGTCGGTGCTTCACGGGGACAGACACTCTGTTCCGGTGATAAAGTTCTGGGACGTGGCAGTGGTTCTGGTTACCCGATGCTGTGAACAGACATAATGTCATTGAATTGTGCCCTTAAAAATGGGAAACTTTTGTGTGGTTTACTCCATGCAAACGGCCTGTCTTGGCTCGTGCTGTGGACTTTCCTAAATTCTCTCAAAGGCTCACAACCCCAAACGAGCAGCGTCTGGCCTCCGGTGCCCCGCACCTCACGGAGCAGCCCCCAGCCCGGCTCTAGCAGCAGCCAGCCTTGGTTCCGGGCTTGGCCTCTCGAGGCTCCTGTAAGCCCAGCACAGTGGCAGCCATCTGCAGATTGCTTGGTGACTCTTAGCAGGTGACCCTGGAGGTGCGCAGCCTGCAGCTGAACTTGGCCTGCAGCTGGCCCCTCCCAGGGAACCCTTGGACCGGCACACCCAGGGGCCTGCTTCGAGCAGCACCGAAGTCAGAGCGCAATCCAGGACATCATCTGAGGACACAGCGAAGGGCAGACTAGGGCAGGCACCAGAGCCCTAATGCGAATCCTGCTCGCTCCGTAGGGTCGGCCCCTTACTGGCTAGTCCTCAAAACCAATCAGCCCGAGGGTCGATCCTTCCCATCCACATGCAAATAGCAACCAAGGCTCAACTACAAGGGACAGGGACACACCTTGAACACCTGGCACAGGTGACCAGGAAAGACTGTGCCACTGGGCCCCACAAGACACCCATTACATAAGGCCACTCTCCCAAGACCAGGAGACTCAGGTGCCCTACCTAATACATAGACACAGGCACAGGGAGGCAGCCAGGATGGGGAGACAGAGAAACGCGTCCCATATGAATGAACAGAGCAAAGGCCCGGAAGAGGAACTTAATGAACTGGAGACGAGCAATCTAGTGGATGCAGAGGCCAAATACTGGTCATAAGAATGCTCGATGAACTTGGGGGAGAGCAGGCGGACTCGGTGAGGACTTTAACAAAGAGCTAGGAAACAGAAAATGGAGACAGAAACCATAAAAAGGAACCAGTCAGAAATGAAGAACACAATATCTGAGATGAAGAGTACATTACAGCAGTGGTCCCCGACCTCTGTGGCGCCAGGGACCGGTGCTCCTATGAGAATGTAATGCCTGAGGATCTGAGGCGGAGCTGAGGCGGAGCTGAGGCGGTGCTGCTGAGGCGGTGATGCTGGCGAGCGGCTACAGGTACAGATGAAGCTTCGCTCATTCCCCCGCTGCTCACCTCCTGTTGTGCAGCCCAGTTCCTAACAGGCCAAGGACCAGTACTGGTCCTTGGCCAAGGGTTGGGGACTCCTGCATTAGCGGGAATCAACAAAGTGGATGAAGCGTGGGATCAAATCAGTGATTTAGAGGATGAGGTGGTGAAGGACAACCAGTCAGAACAGCAATAAGAAAAAAGAACCCCCCCCGCCAAAAAAAAAATGAGTCAAGTTTAAGGGGCCTCTGGGACAACATCAAGTGTCTCAACATTCGCATCATAGGGGCACTAGAAAGAGAAGAGAGAGCGCAAAGAATTAAAAACCCATTTGAAGAAATAATGACGGAAAACTTCCCTAACCTGGCGAAGGAAATAGACACACAAGCCCCGGAAGCGCAGAGTCCCAAACGAGATGAACCAAGACACAGCACGATTAAAATGCCAGAGGTTTAAAACAAAGAGAATCTTAAACGCAGCAAGAGAAAAATCAGTTACCTACAAGGAATCTCCCCTAAGACTGTCAGCTGACTTCTTGACAGAAACTCTGCAGGCCAGAAGGGATTGGCAAGAAATATTCAAAGTGATGAAAAGCAAGGACGTACTATGTCGGGAGCCTTAAGGCCTGCACCCAAAGATAAGAATCACATCCTGCTACCGAGAACAAACTCCGCTATCTGTGACCATTTGGGCAGCCATGGCACTGGGAAGTGCCAGCCTTATCTCGCGTCTTTGATCCCATTCCATTCCCCATTCCGCCGCCTGCAGAGCGGGAGCCTGCAACTTCTGACACAGCCCATCTGTTTCTGACCTGCCAGGCAGAAATCACCTCATCTGGTGGTCGCCAATAAGCTTGTAACAAAATCCTCTCTGATCAGTCCCGCCCCTGCCCTCTCCACCTGAGTGTATAAATATAACCACTTGAAAATAAAATTTTGAGGCTTGATCAGAATACTGTCTTGCCTCCATTCTTTTCTCCCGCCCATGTTTCCTTCAAGGTAAGGTCCTCCTCGGGTTCCGCGCAATAACTAGGTCCTGCGGGTCGGGACAGTACTACAAACAAGATGACTGTACCCAGCAAAGCTACCACTTAGAATTGAAGGTCAGATAAGAAGCTTCCCAGACAAGAAAAAGCTACGGTAGATCATCACTACCAAGCCAGTGTTACAGGAAATGCTGGAGGGACATCTTTAAGAAAAAAAGAGTATGCATCAAAAATATGAATAATAAAATGGCAATAAGTACATATCTATCAACAAGTCCTTCAAATGAAAAAGAGTTAAACGCTCCAATCAAAAGACAGGATGGCTCATTGGATAAGAAAACAAAACCCTCGCACGTGCTGCCTACAAGAGACTCACTTCAGATCGAAAGACACACACGTTGAAAGTAAAGGGAGAAAAAAGTCTATTGCATCACGGACCCAAAGGGCATGTGGACAGTGGCGTAAGGCAGAGAAAGACAAATGCCATGTGATTTCACAAACATGTGGGATCTAAGAAACAAAATGAACACAACAAACAAACTCATAGGTACAGAGAACATTGTGAGGGGAGGAGACTGAGTGGAACAGGCTGAGAAGTACAAACGAGTAGTTATGCAACAGTCACGTGTAAGGACAGCACAAGTGGGAAGCTTTGCAGAGGAGTCCGGCCTCACCACCGGGTGACCACGGAGGCCGAGCTGCTCCAGTCAGTCCCCTAGCCGGTTAGCCCAGAGGTCACAGTGTGCAACCACGGACGGTGTCAGACGTGCACTGGGTTTATTGAGGTGATCGCTTCCTAAGTTACATACACACGTAAATACTGTGTTGCACACCCGAAGCTCCCATGTCGAGCGTCAACTAGAACTGTGTTGGGAGCCAAAACTAAGAATAAAGAATCTTGTGACTAGGCGAGGCCTTATCTGCATCCTGCATCTTGTTAGCCCCCTAGCAGTCAGCCCAGCCCAGAGTTACAGTTCCCTCCTTCACTCCCACTCCCTCTAACCCTTACCACTCCTCACCCCACCAGCTAAGAACCAATGCGCCTGTGACAGATACTCTCCCGCCCAGCTAGCCCTGCCCCCCTTTGTTAGCCCTGTATAAATACTCTTGCTGCTCAATAAAATTTGGAGGCTTGATCAGAATACTGTCTTACCTCCATTCTTTTCTCCCGCCCATGTTTTCTTTCAGGTAAGGTCCTCCTCGGGTTCCGCGCAATAACTAGGTCCTGCGGGTCGGGACAGAACTGAAAAGTGAAAAACGTAGTTAAAAAAAAAGGCAAACTGCACATCGCGTCCGTTTCAGCACAATGGAAAGGAGGCTACGAACAGGCCCCGGTGAAGCCCAGCTGTGGCGCCCGTGCCTCTGCCCACTGTACGGCAGCTGTGACACTGACGGCCTGGCGGACAGCGCCCGGGAGACCCAGCCTGGCGCCGCGTGCTCCTGCCTCCCTCGGTGCCGGGCATCGCTGCAGGGCCTGGGACTCGCCCGGCGTGTCCCAAGAGGGGCTGCAACCCTGGCATAGGACCGGCTCCGTGCTCGGTCACCGGGCTTCTGCACGGAGACAAAGCAGCATCTCCTCACAATGACCTCCCTGGAGGACACGGGCAGAGCGGTAGACCACATGCCCAGAGTCACTGCAGGGCCGGCCCCAGCCACCCTGTCAGAGACCTGCACATTCTGAGTGTCGGGGTAGCCGTACCTTCTGCCTGAGCCGGGCCACCAGGAAGTTCAGGAGACGTGCCCTGTCCCCCAGCCTCCTGAGCGCGAAGCCTGTGGATGCGCCATCGGCCAGCACAGCGCCTCCTGCAGAGAGAGTGGTTGTCAGGCTCGGCCCCCCACACTGGCTGGCAGGTCTGGAAACCTCCGGGAGGCCCAGCGATGGAGTGAATGCGCGCCCGGCCTGCGGGGCCGCAGCAGCCTCCTCAGCACACGGCCCCGGGGAACGCAGAGAAGGACGGTCAACTCGCGGACAGATGAGACGTGCAAACTTAACCATAACGGCAGCCTACGGGCTCGCGGTCCCGCTGTGGTGACAAGGACCGGGACACCAGGGTGGGAGGGAAGCAGGGCATGGCCACCTCACGGCTCCTGACGGGAGGTGGGTGGACGTTCGTGCCTGGAGAGCAGCCCGGCGTGACCAGCTACCACGGTGCAGGACAAAAGGACACACGCCACGGCATTCTGCTGTGCGACAACGGCACCCACGCTGCAGAGCAGGAGCCGGGAGCGTGGCGAGGCCGGGGGAAGCGCAGGGCAGCAGGCGTCGTGGGAACCCTGAGCGAGGGGCCTGCGCGGCGAGACCTTCGGGAGGCTCCCTGGGTCAGTCTGGAGCAGAGACAGGGTGCTGGGCGGCAAGCTGGGGCCTCACCCGCGGCGTCCGAGGCGGCCCGGGCGGGGGGCTGGGCGTCGGCAGGCGGGGGCTCCAACATGTCTCCCAGCTGTTCTTCCAGCGTCTGAAATTTGTGCTTCAGGGCTCGTATTTCTGCGTCCAGGGCCAGAACGTAATCTGCCAAACACACCCATCAAGCTGTAAGCACAGGAGCACATCCCTGCCTCGCCAGCCCCGCCTCAGCGGAGGCTCCCCAGGCTGGCGCCTACCTGCCCGCCCCACTGCCCGCCCTTGTCCCACACACCGAGGCGCAATGCACTTCCTCCCTGGATCCCCAGAGTGCCCCCAGCCAGGCCCCAGGGAGGGCTCAGCAACCAGGAGCGAACCCTGCAGCCGCCACAGCCCCGACCCACGCACGGACCCCACGCTCGTGTCCTGAGCGCAGAGCCATCTCGCAGCCTCGTGTCCCCCACCCACAGACACCCCTCTGAACGGCTGGGCAGTGCCACCTCCGCTGTGGCAGGAACACTCCACGTGGCCCACGTCCCCAGGGGCACGCTGGCTCACCCAGCCCCAGGACGGGTCTGACTCCGGTTCCAGGTGTGTCCACCACACGCCTGCTTCTTCCCACCTCCCCAGTGAAAGCTGTTAGCACGTGCATAAAACTGAGGGCCAATCCTCTGCCTTAGACAAGCAGCAGCCAGGCTTTGAAGTGATTTACGAAAGGGATGCCCCTTTTATAAGACGCCAAGCGAGGCCCGCTTTGGACCCAGCAGAGGCCTGCCCTGGCCCTCCCGGCCCTCTCTCCGTGCCCCCTGTGTCCCCCCGCTCACCAGGAGTGGCGGCATCTGCAGCCACCTGTGCCTCAGGCTGGCGCGGGCTTGTGGTCTCTCCTCCTGCGTGGGCAGAAGGATGAACGTGGTCACTCAGCGCCTCCATCTCTGTCCTCATCTGTGCGACTACATTTCGCAAGCTTGTGTTCTGGTCTTGCAGCCGCTGGATCTCACTAGACGGAAAACTTTTACTCATTTCTCCTTCATGATACCCCAGGAGCAGCTGTCAAATACAGAGAGGGACGGCAGTTATGGCTACAAGAGAGATCAGCGGCCGCCACCCGCCCCAGGCCACCCGCCCCAGGCCGGGCATCTGGCTTCTCCCACGGCCCGGCCCGCCGGCCCCCGCCCCTGCCCCGATCTGTCCTCCAGGCGGGCAGCAGCCTTTCCAAGTTGACAAAAGTGTGAAAAATCTCTTTTCTTCTAGGTTCCACGAGACTGGTGTTTTTCGAAAATAACTTTTAATGAGGAATCTGAGGACCCTCCCTTTTCAGTCAGAGTCATTAGTCACCCACTAGCGTGGCTGTAATAAAAGCGGTGAGGACAAGTGCCAGCGAGGACACAACGAAACGCAGGAAGTGCAGGCAGCCCTGGCGGTCTCCTGGTCAGGCACGGGGCTGCTGTGACCCAGCGACCCACGCTCGGGGCACAGGAGAGCCGAGCGGGCATTCCCCCGAGAACTCGCCCACATGTGCTCACGGCAGCGCCACACATGGCCAAACGTGGAAACACTCAGTGTCCAACGGGCCGACGGAACACGGCACACGGGAGCCCACGCGGCCACGAAGGGCTGCAGCACGGACGAACCGAGGCGACGTCACGTGGAGTGACAGGCGGGGGCTGTGAGGCAGCTGTCACCACACACGCAGTGCAGAACACAAAGTAAACAGGACGGGAAGGGAAGGGGGCGGGGTCGAGAGGGAAGCAGCCTCTGTGCACACGGAGCCACATTCTGTCCGGAATCAGGGCCGCGCTGGGCGGGCCGGGCCGGGAGCAGCCGAGCTGCGGGGAGGAGCGTGTCAGCGCCAGCACCAGCAACCGCTCAAACCCACGCACGGCGGGAGGCGAAGGGGCCCGCGCTGCCACGTGGAGGGGGCTCACGTGCAGGGGGCAGGAACCTGATGCGGGTGACACAGAAGCCACGCCAGACCTCAGAGTCCAACCTCGAGAACCGTGATGAAGAGAAGACCCCTAGAAGTGACTGGAGACGAGGAGGGCCGTTCCCTGCCGAGGAGCCGACACAGTTTCCGCCGGCTTCTCCTGAGACCAGCGGGACCGCAGGGACAGCACGTCAGCACGCAGAGAGGGAACCCGTCACCTCAGGACCCTGGCTGTGACACACTCTTCACCACGGCGTCACACACGGGCCCTCTGGCTACAAACGACGGGCACAGGCCACAGCTGCGAGCCGCTGGGCGCAGACAGCACCAGGCAGGGCGGGCGCCCGAGGGCAGGGCCAGAGGGAACGGCTGGCCAGCCCAGTCTCAAGGCTAGCTCAGCCCGGCCCATGCCCAGGAAAAGGGGTGGCAAAGGGTCCCCACTCCTTCCCTGAGGCTGAGGCCCCCAACGCCAGAGCACGGCACAACCCTCGGTGGGCAGGAGGCCAGCGCCCGAAGCAAGGTCGCCCACAGGACGTGGCGCCGAGGACCCTCTCCCTCAGCAGCAGGAGTGGCCCACCAGTGGCGGACGCAGGAGCCGCGAGCAGGTGGGAGAGGCCCAGCCAGACCACAGCAGAGTGCCGCTAACACAGCGCCCACGACTCGCGGCCAGGCCAGTGACAACAGACAACCCCGCAGGCTGTGCTTTTGTAGTTTCAGTGGCAGAGGAAGCCAGGAAAGGAACGGAGGCAGCGCAGCGTGGCAGCAGGGCACCCCCAGGAACGTGTGAGGGACGCGGACACGGAGGACGGGGGCGCATGCTGAAGGCCCCCGCCGCCTGGCTCTGAGGCCACACCTGGCCATCAAGCCACACGTGTCCACGGGCAGACGGCCTCGCGTGGGGCCATGTTGGGCCACGTGCGCCACCCCTCGGCGTGTGGCCAGGCCCCTCTGCACAGGACACAGGTGTGCGTCCACGGGCTAGGTGGGCCCCGCTGTCCCTGACCCCAGACCCATATCTAAGACTCTTGTTCACCTAACAAAGCAAGTGGCCTCTGAGAGGCCACCTAACCCGCGAGGTGGTGCTTGGAGACAAATGTCTCCTTTAACCGCCAGCCTGGGGGATGCAGCACAGGAAAGCCTCTGGGGGGCGACACCGGTTTCTCTCTGTGCCCTGCAAAGGCCCCTGGGTGATGGCTCCTGCAGCGATGGGCGCGCCCCCATCAGCCCATCGATGGTGGGGCGAGGGCGGCACGGGTGCCTTCAGGCCAGACTCACTGACCTGTGCACTTCAGATTCATGTGATTCACGGCCTGTAAACGTGACCCATTTCAAAGAACAACGAAAAACCCAAGAACCACGCAGGCCTGGAACGAGCCTCACCACCAGCCCGTCGGCCCCTCCTGCTCGCTCGTCCCCCAGCCTCACGCTCCCCCTCAGGCCCCCTGACCGTGGACCTGGACGTCTGGGCTCGGACCCCAGCTGTGTTTCTTCCAAGCTCAGGCTACCTACTTGGGGTCCCTGTGTCTCAGCGGCCACGGCACCAGCACTGGAGACTGAAACGAGTTAACACACATGAAGCTCTGAGGGCAGAGCCGGCAGGGGACTGCCCGGTGCAACCAGGCGGGGTCACAGCGCAAAACTACCTGTGACACCCGGGGAACAAATTGCACAGCAACACCTTCACCTGCGTGACCACTGAACTGGAGGCTTTCAGAGATTTCAAATGCCAAAGACACAAAGAAGGTTCCGAGCGTAAGGCCGGACTCAGCCGTCTGTGAGCAGTCACTTATAAGAGACAGACTGGGGACCCGGACTCAGTGTCCGCTCTGTCAGGCCCCGTTTCCCATGGCCGCTACTGAGAGAAGGCTGGGGGGCTGGGGGGCGCCCACCTGTGCATCCGTCTCGGGGAGGGGCCCCTGCGTCCTCAGCGCCTGCACGGCCCGGTCTCTCTCCAGGGTCACGGCCTTCAGCACTGCCTCCTGGTCACGCAGCTTCCGCTCCGTCTCCTGGAGCTTGGCACCGGCCTGGGCAAAGTCGAGACTTGGCTTAAGACTCGCTTCATGCGGTGGGGGGTTGTGGGGAGCAGTGCCGGGCCCCCCGCAGAATGTCAGGGGTGCACACACCTGCTCCTTGGCCATGGTCAGGCCCCGAACCAGCTCCTCTGACTTCTGGTAGCGGTCCCTCTCGACGCTGTCACAGCGGTGCTGCCAGTCCAGGCCCAGCTGTACCTTCTCGCGCTCCAGGCTCTGCTCCCTCTCCACTGCCAGGGACAGCTGCCGCTGATACCTGGGGCACCGAGACCCGTCGACATGAAAAGCAGAGGAGAGCTGGGGCCCGGGGTTGCAGCCCTGTCCCTCCCGGGCCTCCCATGGCTGGCCTTGGCCAGGGGAAGCTGACCACAGCCTGTCACAGGCCATAGCCGGCAGGCAATTCTGCGACGTGGGCGTGGAGGAGAGACAGTGCCTGGGCCGGGCTCAGGGACCCGGGACAGAGAGGACACTACAGAACTCGAGAGACAGCAGCAGCTGGTGAGGACAGGAGGGGACAGAGCCAACAGACTCGAAAGCCCGGAGGGCTCCGCAGCTACGGAGGGTCCGGGCTGGGCGAAGCGTGTGCAGAGCAAGGGCGGAATGTGGGCTGGGGGTCCGCAGAGAGAGCGCCCCCGCTCCACAAGCCCCACGCCGCCTCCCAGGAGCCCAAGAGGTCAGCCTGGAGGCAGGAGCGACCTCGAAACCAAGAAGAGGCCCGCCGTGGCGGGGAGGCCACACTTCGGGGTGCAGGCGACCTGGTGGACATCGTCACACAGACACGTGCTGGCACACAGACACCAGGCCCAGAAGCAGGTCTGTGACATAGAAGCAGGACACACATCCACCCACAACCTCACTGAGACATGTGACAATCAAATTACTACCAACCAATGACAAAGAGGAACAACCCAGTGGAGGAAGAGGCACTGTTGTGCAGGGACGGAGCAGGGCCACAGAGCCCCCTGAGCCACGTTGGCTGCCAGGAGGCACTGTCAGCACGAAGGAGGGCCGAGCTGCTGCCTGGCGCCTCCACCTGTGAGAGGGGGCTCCGGGTGCAGGCGGAGCATCAGGCGGGAGCATCAGGTGGGCTGACGCCAGGCTGTGGGAGGAAGTGCTGGGGGCTGAAGAAACGTGGGGATTATGGAAACTCTGAACTCGATTTTTCAAAAGTGAAAGGCATCAAGAGTAACTGTTGGAAAGAGCATAAAATTTTTGTTCTCATTTTCAAGTTTTTAATTAGAGAATAGTGGTCCAATCAAAGTATGTGAAAGTAATCTGTAGAACAAGTACTAAAACGGAAAAGAGAAATACAAGATTGTAAGAATGTTAAAACATACGTAAGAGGTAAACGTTATTTAAAGGCAGCCTGAGCATATTGTAAATCTCAAAACGATCAATAAATAAGCAAAACAAAGAGATTTCACAAGGTAATAGTAGAAAGGAAATGGAGTCATAAACAGTACTCAATTTATTTTTTAAAAGGGAGGAAAAAAAATGAGGGAAATAAGAAGCAAATAGCAAGCTGGAGATTTAAACCCAAACATAGTAACAGCACTAAATAGAACTATCTGAGCACTGCAATGAACAGGAAGAGATTGTCACACAAGATACAGAAAGCAAGACACAGCCACATGCCCTCGATGAGAAATGCACTTCAAACACAAAGCACCTTCAGAGCAGAGGTGGGACGCGAGCCACACAGACTCGAAGTGGCCTGGGGAGTGAGGCAGGTGCCAGACGGGGGGCGGCCCCCACCCCGGCCAGGGCAGCTCCACCGAGGAGCCATGGGAATGCCAAGTGCAGGCACCCGTGAGGACGTCAGAGCTTCACGACAGCTAACCCAGGCACACGCTCAGACCTCAACGCCCATCAGCAAGGGACAGGACAGGCAGACAGAAAGCCAGCGAGGACACTGGAGGCGAGGCCACCACCGCCCATCAGCAAGAGACAGGACAGGCAGACAGAAAGCCAGTGAGGACACAGGAAGCAAGGCCACCACCCACCAGCCAGGGACAGGACAGGCGGACAGAAAGCCAGAGAGGACACCGGAGGCGAGGCCACCGGCAGCCAATTCGGCCTCGCCAACATTTACAGAGCCTGGAACCTGAGGTGGGATCCACTTCCTTTCAGACCCAGTAGGCGGTCCTAGAGAGGACAACCAAGCTAAAGCCACAAAACAAATAGACAGAAGAGTTAAAGTCACACAGGGTACGTTCTCCGTCCAGAATTAAAACAGAGATCAGTAACAAAACGAGGTCAGTAACAAAATGGTACCTGGAACTCTCAAATGATGGGAAATTAAGCAACACATTTCTAAGTAACCCATGGGTCAAAAAAGAAATCACAAGGGAAGTTAGAAAATGTTTTTAGCTGAATAACATCAGAATTCGTGGGCTGCGACTAAGCAACACTTAGAAGAAAACTCATAACGTTAAATGCTTGTATTTCTAAGAAAAGGGAGGTCCGAAGTTAAGCAAGATTCTACTTCTAGAAGCTACTGGAAAAATCTCAAATTAAAGCCAAAGGAAGTGATAGGGGTAGATGTCAGTGAAACTGGAAACAAAACGCAGAAAAACTCTCTTTCCTCCGGTTTCCCGTGTCTTGTCTCTCCCGCCACAGCACGTGGGCCGGGGATTTGATTCTGTCCTGTTTTGCAACCAAAGCGCCGAGGATGGCGCCTGGCCCTGAGGTGGCGTTCAGTGGGAAGGTCGGCGGTGGGGACAGTCACCTTATGACATCCTGCTGGCATCTGGCCAGCTGCGCCTTGAGTTTCGCCTCTTCCTCCTGCAGTGACTGGATCCGCAGGTCTTTGGCGGTGGCCTCCTTGGACAGCTGAGCGACCTGGGCGTCCCAGCCAGACCTCAGAGCTGAAGCCTCTTCCCGGAGTCTGCCAAGGTGGGCAGAGGATGCAGGCGTGGCTGTGGCTGGCTCAGCCACCCCCCACGCCCTACACATTCACCCCGTCACACTCATCCATACCCACATCCACACACACACACACACACGGCCCTCCAAGGCAATGCTACAGGTCAGTGTTTCTCCCACACCCGTGTCCCCACAGCCGCGCACAGATGTCCTAGCTGAGGAGATGGCCCACCCCACCATTGCAGGTGTCACCCAGAACCTAGGATACGCCACGCCCGTTCCAGGTGCCTGGGGACAGTGAGCCCCGGGTGTCCCCTGGGCCTGTGGCAGCACCCTCTGACCAGTCTTTGCACCCCCCCCCCACCTTGCACACAGTCGACACATGTCTTCCAACAGAATAGTAATTCGAGGTCTAAAGAAACCCCTGACTCCCTGGCAGACCCTCCAAAAAACGGAATAAATTTCCCAGAAGAAACACCTCAGCAAAGACATCCAGAGATGCCAGCCAGGGAAGCCGCAGCACCAACGCACAAAGGCCGCCGGGCATCCGATGGGCAGCTGGGCAGTCCCCTCCCCAAGCTGCACTCAGTGTGCTGCGGGGCAGGTGTCTGCGGCCACACAGTGGCACTTCCAGAGCCACAGGCCTGCGTGGGCGAGCCGAGGGGAGGCCAGTGACGGCCTTCCATCAGAACCAGAGTGGCAGGTGTGCACGCAGCACACAAAGCGGGCGTGGGGGGGAGTCACGTCCCCACAGGCAGCCTTGAGGACCAGTGCAGCTTGGGCTCAACGCCAAGGCTGGTATGGCCATTCGAGGGCCTGCTGAAGGGCCCAGTGGCTCCGCTCGGCCCTGCCTGGCCCTGGCGGGGTCTCCACCTGAGAACCGCGAGCTCTGCATGTTCTCAACCACCGTGAGCCCACGCACGCCAGCATATGACGGGGGACGTGCACTGTGCTCACGGCAGACGCAGCTGCGGCAGGCAAGGCCTGGCCGGCCAGAACCAGCACATTCACGGCAGCCAAAGGTTGGAACGACCCCGTGTCCACTGACGGGCAGATGATAAACACAATGTGGTCCACCCAGGCAATGGAACGGGGTTCAGCCTCAGAAAAGAGGGGACCCTGACACAACACGGGGGGACCTCGGGATGTTACGCTCAGTGAAAGAAGCCGGACGCAGAACAAGTGCTTGTGAGCCCCACACGTGAGGCTCCTAGAGCAGGGAGTAGGCAGTGTGAGGCTGGGGCGGGGGTGCGTGGGGGTGTTGGTTAGGGGCAGTTTCCACTCACGAGACGAGGGCTCTGGGGACCAGGTGGTGACGCGTCGTTGCCCAACAACGTGGCTGGGCTTCGTGCCACTGAGCTGCACACCGAAGACGGGCCAGAAGGTGAAGGGCCGCGTCCGTCCCCACATACAAACGCACAAACGCACCCCCGCGCACGTACACATGTGAACTGCACGCTTCCATGCAAGGTCGGTCGAGAGACGGCCAGAGCCGCAGCAGCAGCCACAGGCCTGCGCCCACGCCCGGACCCGGGACACACGGGACGCACGGCGCCCGCATGCTCACTTGTCCATAGCGGCGTCCCGCTCCTGCGTGGCGTCGGCCCGCCTCCACTCGGCCTTGCGGAGCTGCAGCTCCAGGGCCTCGCAGTGGGCCTGCAGCCCCCGGACCCTGGCCTCCAGCGCCCGCAGCTGCTCCGCGTGGGCGTCCTTCACAGCGGCCAGCGCTGCGTCTCTTTCTCTGGCCAGACGGTCAAGTTCCTCGTGCCTGCAAGACAGTGTGGACGCAGCAGCTCCCGTGGGCCGCTCCAATGACACCTGACCCTCCCTGCCTAGGTCCCCAGCCAGACACAGGGTCCTTCCTGCAGGCTGGGAGCTGCCTGGTCACCGCTGTAGCAGCCACTTGTTCCTTTGCTCGTCACTCATCACACCGAATGCCGACCCAGCAATTCCTTAGACTGGGCCCCGGGCCATCCTCCAGAGCCCACGGCCCCACAGACAGACCAGAAGCAGTGCCTTGTGCAGCGTGCCTCTGACAACGCCACCCACCGCAGCACCCCACTCACACCCTGCAAACACCTGAAAGCAAAACAGAGCAAGCTACACATGCTCACTGCTGCCACACATGTGTGGTGAATGTCCGCCCTGAGACTAGCAGCAAGGTCAAGGTCAGGGGAAGCTGCAGAGGTGTGACGAGACGGCAGTGCTGTTCACAGACACCGTGCCGGCAAGAGTGTACTGACACCAGCAACCCCGTGGTCCCCTCACCCGACTCAGCACCTGGGTCTCACGTGGTGCCGGAGCAGAGACATGCCAGGTGCACGTGACAGCCACAGATGACGTCACAGTAAAGCCTTTCGGCTTCTGGAGAGAGCGAGCGACCCTGGCACTGCCTGCAGGAGCCGCTGCAGCACCGGCCAGCAGACACCTGAGGTCATTCCTGGGCGGGGTGGGGAGCAGGTGGCTCCCTGGCTCCCGGCACAAAGCTGGGTTGGGGAAGCAGGTCACAGCACCCAGATGCCCTGCTGGTGGGCATGGGGCCAGGCCAGGGGGCCACCCTACAGGCATTGGGAGCTGAGGGTGGGAGGGCGCCTTCTGGCCTCGTGGGGGGCAGCTCGTGTAGCTGCTGGACCCCACGGGGCGTCAGTTACGCGGCTGTGAAGTCCGTGGGCGATTACGCGGCAGCACGCCTCGGGAGTGTGCAGAGCCTCGCACCCCGCTGCCCCGCCCCCCCGTCCCCCCGCTTCACTGTCGTCAGCCTACGCGAACACCCATGTCGCTACAGGTGACCGACTTCACATTTCTTCACGACCACATTTGACTCAGACCGAGACGGAAGTGCTGGGGGCAGGGGCGGGGGTGGGCAGAGAGCTGAGGGCTGGAGCGCGGCCGCTCCTTCCACGTGCAGCCGGGGCCACGGGTGCCAGGGCACTGAGCCCCGACTCAGCCATTGACTGGGCCGTTTCACTTCTGATGCCAGTGTCCCTAACACGCTGGGAATCATATTCACTTTTTACTGTTCTGACTTAGAACCTAAGAGATTCTGGAGTGGACCTCAAACACGCACGGAGGAACAGCTTCGCACCCCGCTGCGCGTGGCGGAAGGCTGGTGGCCCCGTGCTCTGCACGAGCAGCCCCGCCGCCGGCCTGGGCGGCTCCAGGCAAGGCCAGGTTCTGCTGGGGCCTGTCCACACCATGGCCACCAGGGCCAGGAACACTCACTTCCTCCTGAACGTCTCCTCCTCCTTCTTCCGTGTGAGCTGCACGAAGTGAAGCTGGCCCTCCAGGTCCTTTATCCTGGAAAGCAGCACCGTCCGTGGGAAAGCGAAGGGGGCAACGCCAAGCCACCCCAGCCGCCGGGACCGGCGGCCGCTCCTGACCCGGGGTCCCAACGGGCAGCTCAGTACCTCCCCCACCCAAGAGGCCGGGAGGGCGTGCGCACCGGGCGTCCTTCACGGCAGCAAGGTCATCGAGCTCGCGGGCCCCGTGCTGCAGCCTCTCCCGCAGCTCCGCGGTGGTGGTCTCCGCGCTGCACAGTGACTCTGCAGCCTGTGCTGCCGCCTCCCTCGTGGCCGCCAGCTCCTTGCTCAGCAGCTTCACCTTGGGGAGATAAAAAGGCTTCAAAAACGAGGCTGTGACAGGAACAACAGAGGCGGCAGAGGGACACCTTGCCACCTTATCGGGACCGGAGTGTCCCTGCAGGCTCGCATGGAGGAAACAGGAAACCCCTCACACGGCACCCGGGGCAGGCCTGCACCCCGGATGTCCCTACCTTCCCCTGCTGCCCCTCCTGACAGGACCGCCCACCACACTAGGGACCACGGGGCGACCCCACATAGCCCTCCTCGCCTGGCGCCCAGGAACCCCAAGTGGCCTGGCGAGGGTCCCTGTGGACAGCCTGCTCCAAGGCTGGAGCCAGGGGACTCAGGTGGGGGCAGGTGGGAGCCCAGGGGACTCGGCTGCTGGTCCGGGAGAACCGCATCTGGGCCGGAGCTGGGCTCCAGCCATGCAGAGTTGCCCATGTGCTGCCCGTGGCCTGCGGCCCCGTGGGGGGCTGGTGGCCTGGGGAGGGCCCTCGCCAACCACTAGGGCAGGGTGTCCATCTCACTAACACCTGACTGGACGCCTGCCCAGATGGACTCAGTCGGGCCGTGTGGGCGGGGCCAGGCCTTGGCCCCCTTCCCCTCAAGGCCTGTCCCAGCCCCAGCAGCTCAGGCTCCTCGCCAGGACCCCAGCGGTGTCGGCCAGCACGCTGGGGAGCCGTGTCCATAGGGAGGCTGCAAGCACCACGGCAAGGAGCAGGGCCTTCAGACAGGCGTGACCCCAGCCCGGCCCGACCCCCACCGCCCACGGGGACAGGAGCAGCACCCCCTCACTGGCGGCAGGACGCAGGGCACCCTGGCCAGGACCAGGGTGGCGGTTTATCTTGGGAGGGGGAGGCACGTCCCTGGGGTTGGGCTGACCACACCGGGCGTGACACCGGTGCTGCTCTGGCTGGGCAGTGACCTGCACTCCTGAGCGGGCACAGCGGCGGGCGCTTCGTCCACACACCGGCCCTGGCTTCGTGCAAAGGAGGAGGCCTTTGTGTGAACCCCAACTCCAAGTTCCGGGGTCCTGCACGCGAGCGACAGAGGACACCGCTACCTTGAGCTCGTGCGCCAGGACCACGTTGCTCGTGCTGTCAGCCTGCAGCCGCAGCTCCCGCTCCCTCTTCTGCAGCTCGGACTCAAACTCCAGCAGCAGCTCCTGGGGCCGGAAGGCTCAGGGTGACGAGGACAGCGGGGGCCCAGCAGAGACCGACCGTGCACCACCGCGGCAGGAGCGCGAACACGAAGGCGGCCCGCAAGCGAGGGCAGGCCCTGCCTCGGCGAGACCTGCCCCCCAGCGTCCCCAGGCAGCTCCCACCGAGGACGAGGTCTGTCACTTCCCCTGCAGGCCCGTCACTTTCTGTTCGCACACGGGAGCCTCTGGGCCGACAGGGCGAGAACCGGAGTCACGCCCTGTCGAGGCCAACCGAGCCCACCGGGAACCACAGCTTCCAAGGGCACCGTCTGTTCCTAAACACCGGGCTCACGCCACCGTCCCCGTGCCATCCTTCCACACGACCTGCTCCTCCCTTGCTGGACAGACGACGGTGGAGCAGCCCTGCCCCGACTCCCGGCACCACGCCGGGCTCCTGGGGAGCGCTGACAGCAGTCGTCCTAACGTGTGACGAAACGACTGCGCACCTCAGTCCTGCTCAGAGCTCTGCTGGCTGTGGCCGCCACAGGGCAGGCGGAGCCCGGGCTATGACCCACTGAGACGAAAAAGCCAGCCCAGGAGTGAGACACCCACCACCCCAGGGACGCCCAGACCATCCCGCCTCCCCCGACATGCGAGGATGCCACCTCCTGGCCACCTCTCCTCTGAACATTAGGGCCCTCTCCTGCTGGTCCCTCTGCGACCAGTCCTTCACCTCCCCTGCCCTGGTGTTCAAGGTTCAGCCCTGTCTACACTCATCCTGGGGGATGCCTCAGGCCCCCAGCCCTGATCCCCATGACCCCCACCACCAGCGTCCACCTGCAGGAGCCGCCGTCCACGCAGCCTGACCACCCTCCCACCCCCACCTGGTGCTCAGCCCTCAGTGCCTGCCTCCTTCACCCACCCCGTCCAGCACTGTGCCCCTGCTCTGCCGTCCAGCTGCACCCAGAACCCGCCCGCCCCCCAAACCTCCCAGCCGGGGCAGCACCAGCCCCCTCACTGTTGCTCTGGGCCCCGGCCCCTGGCCCCACAGTCTGTCCTCAGCCCCATAGCAGATGATCTAAAACTACAGCTAGGCTGACCGGGCGCTCTGCTCAAAGCCACCAGGACTGTCTCATTTCCCCTGGAGCAAAAGCCCACCTCGTGAGAGCCCCTGAGCCCTGCACGCCGCCCCCTCCTCAGCCCCTGCACGTGGGACGCTGGCCCCCAGCTCTGACCAGCAGGAGGCTGCTGCTCCTCCCATCCCTCCTCACCTGCAGATGTGAGGCATGTTCTGTCCTCAGGGGCCCTCCCCAACCACCTTAAAGGTTCCTCCCCCCGCCACACTATGTCACACAGCTGACATCCCTCGAGACTCTGCAGCTAGAGGTTGTTCTGCTCAGGTGCCGACTGCCCCATGGGAGGGCCAGCTTGCTCCCAAGACAGGCAGGCCCAGGTGCTCACACACTGACCCCATGGCCTGGAAAGGTGCCTGGCACCTGGCATGTGGTCCGTGTTCAAAACCTACTTGCTAAACAGGCGAACAATCAGTGGGTCATTCAGTCTAACCTCCAGCCAGCACGACAGGCCTGTCCTGGAGTGCTGTGACCCCAGCGCCTACCACAGCATAGGCAAGTGTATCGTGCACACCTGCCCCGTGGGCATTCACTGCCACACAAGGGGACGAGCTCACAGTTCAACGGCTCACACAGCATCACTCTTGAGAAGGGGCAGAGACGGGCACGCGGCACGGCCTGGCACTAGACCACAGGCCAGAGCCTAAGAACGCAATGTGAGCAGCCACGCAGGGTGATAACGGCGGCTAAGGGCTCCCGTGCCAGAGGCGTCTCGGACCCAAGCTGCAGCCCTGCAGGGGACTTGGCAGCTTGCTTAACGCCTTGGGTCCCTGCCCCTGCCTGCGAAGTGCAGATCGAAGCCTCTGCTGTGAGCAGACACATTCACACAGGTGCGCGGAGGCGGTTTCCTTAAGCACCCGCTGTCACTGGGATGACATTAGCTCAGCACATCCTGGACGGGGACCAAGGAGACCCCACCACCCTGGACCAGCTCCCACACGGTCCCAAGGGACACGGGCTCTGGCCATAAATGCAGAGGGTGCCCTTCGACCAGACCCCAAAATAGCTGAGCATTTAAGAGGTTAGACTGAGTGTCAACAGAACCGAAGAGAAATTTCGGTGACAGGCCAAAGTGTCACCTATCAATAAACACATCTAAGTTTAAACTTATACTTATTGTTTTGCTGAAAGAAATATAGTCACCAAGATTTGAGTTCCCAGTTCTTTTCTATAGTAAATAACTCAAGTTTTAACTTTGTAACACCTTCTTCTGAAATGAACGAGGGAGGACACGGTGGGGTCATCACCTGGAAGGCCTAGGCAGCCACTGGGTTTCCTGCCACGGGGGGGCACCGGCCAGGAACTCAGCTGACCCTCGGGTACCTGTCGCCTGACGCCGTCTCCCTCCCCGAGGCGCTCTGGGCAGGCAGGATTAGGCACCAGACTGCACGCCGCACGCCCCACCTGCCTCTGCAGAGCGAGTTCGCCGTCGAGCTCCTCGAGCTTCCTCTCCAGCTTCCACGTCAGCTTTTCATACTGTTCCCGCTGCCGGTCAATCTCACAGCTCTGGTCACTACGAAACACACAGCGTTAAGAGCCACACTGAAGAGTCCTCAAAGAACACATCTGCCGGGCAAACTTTACAAATGTCAGCGGGAGCTTCACTTTCGCGTGGCTGGCTTCGGCAGGACGCAGGGGACAGCACTACACCTGGACCTACGTGCTATGCCTGGGAAGGTGACAGCCAGCAAAGGACAACATGAAACAGGGCCCGCAACATAATCCCGAAGTGCCCAGGACACAACCTCAGTTTCCTAGTCATACCAAAAACCAGGAACACCTCCACTCTTGTGAAAAAGACAATCAAGTCAGTAGGTGCCAACACCAGAGAGACAGATGCTGAAATTATCTAAGGTGATTTTGAAGCAGCCACCGTAAAAACGCTCCAACCAGTAACTTAGCGCACTCTTAAAACGAATGGAGAACAGAAACTGTCAGCAAAGAAAAAGACGACACACGAAGAACCGGCAGGAGCAAGAACCAAAACGACGGGGGCCCCGGGGGGCCTGCGGCGGGACGGAGGTGGAGGAGGAGAACCCATGGCCTTGAGGACAGAACAGTGGGAATCGCCCGCTGCTACCCGAGTCCCAGAACAGGAGGAAAAGACAGCAGGGCCGGAGATGTACTTTTAAAAATAATGGCTAAAGCTGTCCCAAGTTTGGCAAAAATAAATGGGCAAAAGACCCAACAAGACACTTTACAAAGTAACGTGAAACACTGTAAACATGCTTCAACCCCCGTCAATAGGCCTGAGAGAGACCAGCGTTTTCATGGAGGCAACTGGGCCACTTGGGTTGCAGACGGGGTGGTACGCACCTGCCTCCAACCCTCTGCGTGCACCACTGTCATCTGTAACAAGGCTGGGGACAGCCTGATATCAACGGCGGTGGTGTGGGTGAGAGGTACCAAGACACTTCTCTGCTCTGGGAGAAGCTGGCCTTGGTGAAATGCGACAGGGTGAGGTGGTATTCAGTGTCGGACACGTGACACATTCCCTAGCACTGCCCCGGGATGAGGACAATGTGCAGGGGGCCATGAGCACTCTGGGCTTCCCCGAGGACAGTGACTCTTGGGACTGGTGAGTCTGTTGCAGGGGCCCTGGAAGCCTGTGCGTCATTCCAGGGTTGCTGGCAGTGGGTCAGGGGCTTCTGTGCCAAGGTGGCCCTGCACCCCCGAGGTGGTACCTCCTTGCACCTGACCTGCCACGGAGGAGCGCCAGCCTCTGTCCTCCTGGCCCGCTCCGTGCCCGTCTGCGTGAATGGGCTGGCACAGGGCCAGGAGGCCCCTGAGAAGGAGCGGGGCGCGTGTGTGCTCAGGGAGAGCGGTGTGTGCCCCACCTGCGGACCCGCTCCAGCTCCAGGCGGTGCTCCTGCAGCTTCTGCTGGTACCGCTGCTGCAGGTCCTCCAGCCGCTGGGCCTCGTGGGCGAGCGCCTGCCTCAGCTTGGCCGCCTCGACCCTCAGCTCACTCGCCTCGGCCTGCCGCGCTTCCTCCAGCCCGCGGGCCTGGGCGAAGGCGGCGTCGTAGCGCTCCAGCTCGCGGTCCCGCTCCTCCAGCACCTGCAGGTTGTAGACGAAGTCCTCCTGCAGGCGCCGCAGCCGGGCCCGCGCCTCCCGCAGAGCCGCCTCCTGCAGCTGGGAGCGGTGGGACTGTAGCGCCCGCCACTCCTCCTCCTTGCGGGCCAGCAGCGCATCCAGGCCCTGCTCCGAGGGCGGGGGCGGCGGCATCACGCAGCTGTGGCAGAGAGAGGCGAACAGGACTCTGTGAGGGGTCTCACTATCCTCCCACAAGGCCCACCTCAGACCCCAACCTCAGGGATGGCTGTCACCACAGAGAGCAGGGGCGTGGGGCCAGGGATCTGCCATCCGGTCATCCTGTGAACTCTGCAGCACCGTGAAGTGAGTCCCCTAAGGCCCAGCAGATCAGGGGCACACCAGGGCCAAACTACGAGGGTCAGAAGTGGCACACGTCACAAGTGACACAGACGTTGGAAGTAACATAGACGAGACATAAGTGCGACGTGCCACAAACAACACACGTTAAAAGTAACACTCATGTTCGAAGTGACACATTTTAAGAGCAGTATGTTAAAAAAACATTCACGTTGCATATGTCATAAATAATAAACAATCAGAAGTGACACGAATGTCAAAAGGGCAAGCGTGACAGCCGATGCTGGAAGTCACATGCATGTAACACATCACGAACGGTACGTATAAAAAAATATTTAAAAAATGGCATGCATGAAATGTCAAAACAATACACATACCAGAAGTGACATGTGCAATACAAAGGTCATAAATGGTACACATGTCAAAAGTGACAGGCGACACGAGAGGCGTGTCTAAAAAACACGATGGAAGTGACACACGCACATGTGTCATAAACACACGTCCCAAATGACACACCTGTTGCATGTGACTTTATCTAATAACTGACATGCAGCAAACACATCAGAAATGACACACAAAACAGATGTCAGAAATGACAAACGACACACACCATAAACACATGTCCAAAACAACACACATGTCAGAAGTGAGATGTGACACACTTGCCAGATATGGCATGCAACACGGACAGGAAGCGATATGCAAGACGGATGCCAGAAAGGACATGCGACACAAGTCATAAATAACATGTCACACTGATACACACGTCGAAGATGTGTGATACGTGTCAGAAGTGACATACAAGACACATGCTGGGAATGAGCTGGAACACATGCCACGGTACCCGTATCGAAACCACATATCAAAAATGATTCATTAGAAGTGACATGCAACACGTCAAAAGGGACATATTACACAAATGGCAGAAGTGACATGTGGCACACATGTCAGAGGTGACGCACAACACGTCAGAAAGTGGCAGGTGACACATACCAGAACTGACATGCACCTGACACATGCCATAAACAGCATATGTGTCAAAAAAGTGACATGCACACAGCACATGTCAGAACTGACACCCTCAAACATGTGACATATATGACAAATGCAAAAAATGACACATATCAGAAGTGACGTGTGCCATATCATGAAGGCTCCATGTGCCAGAAGTGACGTGCACACACATCAAACATGACGTGTGTGACACGTCAAGTGACACCTTGCCAAAAGTGATGTCTTAAAGATGCACATGTCAGACGTGACACATCAGAAGTGATCCACATCACAGATGACGTCCATGTGATCACACTCACCAGCCCCAAACCCAGCACACACACAAGCCCAGCTGACCGCGGTGGAGCCACGTGAGGGAACAGTGTTCCTGTCTGGCCCCGACTCGCCCTAAGGAGCGGCCACTGCATGTCAGCACGAGCATGGGGACTTGGGCCTACCCGCGAGATGCCACCTGCGCTGTTGTCCGACCAAGCGTCTGCCGTCACAGTGCTTCCTACAGAGTGCCCACAGCCTCCCGGCCAGTGAGGGCCCCTTCTCAGTGCCCTGCATCGGTCACACAGCCCCCTCTGGGTGACTTCTGGTTCGGAAAACTGATCATGTGACGCCAAGCCCACAACTCCAGCTGTCTCCAAAACTGAGCCCCACCTGTCTGCACACAGGGGCCCCTAGGACCAGCCGGCCACGCGCCCGCCACGCCCCGCCCCCGGAATTTCCAGCTGCTTCTGGGAGAGACACCAGCTTCGAGCAGGGCCCCTGAAGCCGCTGCGCTCTGGATCCCAGGCTAAACCGATCCACGGAGGGAGGCGCCAAGTGCTCCGCGTCCCTTCTCACCGCCACGGAGCGCCGCCAGCCTCCGCACACGCCTCACGGAAGGCCGACCCCAAAAGCCCGGGGCTGTGACTGCCCAGCTGGAACCAGCAGATTCAGAGCCTGCCCCCGACCTGTCAGTCAGCCGGCAGATGTCCCCGCAGGGACTGTGCGAAATTTCTGGGAAAACTCTAGAAACCTCCGGAGGAGAAGGCCTGCTGTCAGCTCAGCCCTCGGCAAGGTGTCATTCTAACCAGGGCGTCAGGAGACCAGCTGCCCAGCAGGGCAGGGCCAGGCTGCCCCCTGGTCCTCGCATCCCCCGATGGCCTCCTCTGTGGACCACTGAGCTCCCAGGCCTGAGTCCTCATC